CGCAGTGGCGCAACACTGGGGACAGAGGGTCGGCCGCAGCCCGGCCACCACAGCAAGCCGGCCCCCGGGACGGCCCTCGGCAGAGCGGCCGGAGGCGGCTGTCGGAGGGAGGGTACGGCGAACAGAAACTGAAACCCCCTGGCAGGACCGCAGCCTGGACGGGGCGGACGCGACGCCATTAGCGGTCAGCTCGGGCTGCACATCTGTTCCTCGCTGGGCCCTGGGCGGGCATGCGGGGGGCGGGGGGGCGGGGACGAAAGGAGATGGCGGGGGGGGGGGGGGGCGGATGCAAAGAGGCGCCGTCCCTCTCCTGCGCCGGCCTCCCAGTTCCGGGCCGTGGGGGTCACGCATGGCACGGGCCTGGGTGTTGCTGGGGCTTCCGTGGCCGCTCCGAGACCGGCCCCCCTTCGAAAAGTCTCATTACACTTGGCCGGACCATGCAGTGTACGAGTCCGCGTTTATACTTTCTTGTTTTGCGTGCAGAACTGTGACATGACGTTGTCCTTGGTTTTATGCATCGGCGCCTCACTGCCAGGCTCTGCTCTCTGACCTCCGGCCTGGGCTCCCAGACCACAGAAGGACACCTGCTGTCTTCCCTCGTGCAGTAATTTCTGCTCAGCCCATGTACAGCTAGCGTTTTATTTTCCGAAGTCTTTCCGCTCTGGGCTTCAGTTAAGTATTCAACGGACGGCCATCCAGCCTCTAAAGACACACGAATGTTAAGGGCGAAGTCTCGTCCAGCCAGCGACCGGGGGGAGCATAAAGGTTAGCCGTCTCACCTTCTATAAACGAACCCAGAAAACAGTTTCTCATTGCATTCCCTAGTTCCAAGGTTCTACTGGAAACGCGCCATCCTACGTCTGTGATGTGTGTGTGGCATAGGGTATCTTTTAATTCAAAGACACATGGACGTCACGTTGCCCCAAGGGCCGCGCGCAGGCTGAGGGGCCGCCCCTCCCAAACGCCGTCCTGCCTGCACGCGGCCGCCGCGGCCCCCCGGGCGCTCCCTGCGGACTTGCTAGGGCCAGGAGCGGCTTCAGGTTTTATTTAGGGTTTTGACTTCAAAATTCAGGTGGCTCCTGCGGACGTGGGGGTGCCTGGTTGCCGTGCGAATGGGCTTCCTGGTTGGGCAACCGCGGCTGTGTTTCGCTCCCGTCCCTCAGCCGCCCCGTGGCCCGCCTGGCACCGGTGCGCCGCCCCCGGAGAGCGCCCCGGGCTCCCAGCAGCTGCGCGGGGGCGGGGAAAAGCAAGGCCACTCCTCAGACAGTGGCCCGGAGTGACAACAGCGTCCGAACGGGAAGGCGCACGGCCTGCACCGCAAATGCCCAGAGGCGGGAGCACGTTTCCTGTGGGTGCCTCAGCAACGTCCGTGTTAGATCATCTCCTGGACATGCTAATAAGGACACATTTAACATCGATCTCTGAGCAAATTCTGTTTCCTGTCCCCTTCCCTCGCTTTCAAAGGAAATAAACACATGCAGAGAGGAGAACCGCCATTCCGCTCCGGTCACTCGGGCCCCAGCCCAGCAAGCCCTGGGCCTGCCCCGGGCGCCAGGCCCCCGTGGGAAGCTGTCAAAGGCCAACCAGTCCCAAAGGGGAAAGGTGGTGCCCAATCGTGGAGTCCCTAAAGGCGACACAAGGCCAGCACCGGACGCCCTCCCGCCCTGCCCACCCGCCCCAAGGAAGGGAGCGGTCCCAGGGTGGATATGGAAGCATCTCCATCGGCCTCACGGCTGGGGCTCAGACTCGGGCCGGGAAGCTCCGCCTCCCTTCCCCTGAGCGCGGCTGCAACAGGGTGTTTCCGGGTGGCTTGTCCTAACGGTGAAACGAGGACACAGACACAGAGCGCCCCCTACAGCGCGTGGACGTCACAGACACACTCAGGGGTGCCCTTCCCTGGCAGTGAGAACAGGCATGGGGGTGCCGGGCGCCAAGGCTCAGGGCCCTTAACTCTGCTTTCTATGTCTGGGCGCCAAGGCACGGGGCCAGCTCCGAAAGGAGGCCGCAGCCCCTGCTGGGCAGGGGCCGGTGAGGTGAGGCCGCTCCTCCCGGCCCCCGCGGACGCACGCGGGGGCGGGCTTACCGGCTGTCCATCAGGACCCCTGTGGCCGCACCATGAGAGACACACAGGAGGGCGAGCCTGCCCGTGCCACCGCCAAGTTCCGCGGGATGTTACTCCCAGCCTGGATCGCGCAGGGGAATCAAATAAACAACAACAAAAACGGGTCAACCACTCGCACGAACAGTGGAAAATGGAGATGGCCCAGCCTTGGACGGACCCACGTCTTCAAGGAAAAAAGAGACATGGGCCCAAGTCAGGGTGGACGGGACACAGTGGACGCCCTGCTGACTGGAGAAGACGCTGAGGCCTGACCGAGGGCCGCGAGGTTCCGCAAAGCCATTGGAAAGCCATAAGAACAGCCAGAGTAGGTGTTATGGCAAAAACTGAACAGGACACTTCTCAAGCAAAGCGGGTTCTCTGAGTCCGGAACGCAAAGCCCCGGGACACGCCTGGGCCGCGCGCTGCCCCGAGTGTGTGGGCACAGGGGGCCGGCGGAGTTCTGAGAGGCCCGGCCGACCCACCCGCCAGCCCAAGAGGCAGAGGCACCGGCAGCTGGGCGAGCGGCCGGGGACGGCGCAGGAGGCGGAAAACCGCGCTTGTCTCAACAGCCCGTCCAGCGCAGGCGACGCGCACTCGACAACGCTCGCCCACGCGCCGAGCACCAGGGGCCTGTCCCAGCGGCTGCGACAGGCGGAGAGGCAGGGGCCGGCGTCCAGGCCCACTGAGGGCGCGGCCCGTGCGAGCTGATAATCACGGCACTTAGAACTGTCTCCTAAGGGACCATGCTGTGGGTGCCATCAGATACGCCGTTACCTGGAAAGCTAACATGCACCGGGCGCATGAGAAGCCTTATCACTCATCTTCACACGCGCCACACAGATCCTGTTCCGCGTCCCCGCTTCACGGAGGAGGGGGGCGAAGAAGAGGAGAGGCGGGAGCCTGCCTCTGGGGAACACCCGGCTGCCGCGCCCTTCGCCGGCCGAGGCTGCCTCTCCGGCGGATGGAAGGCCAGATGCGAGTCCAGAGCCACTCCCCCCGAGAACAAAAGAGATCCCCCCCCACCGGACCAGGAAGGGGTCTGAAGAGACAGCAGCACCGCGGGGAGACCCAGCACATGCCCCGTTTCCACGCGGCCCCTCGGCTGACTTCCTGATGTCCCGGGTGGGGGGTGGGGTGGGAAGCCGTCTGCCAAAATATTTTACGGCTTTAAACTTTTCTCCTGGATGCAAAAGCAACACAGCATTTTATTTGCAAATGCGGTTTCGAAGCCAAACGCTTTCTGGGCAGTGCAGGAAAAGAGGCACCGCGGGCCCCCAGGATGCACCGCCGCAGGCACCCCCTGTGGGGCGGGCATCGCGGGGCACCCTGCGGGCCGCTGTCCCGGGCGAAGGGCTGGAGGCTGCCCGGGAGCAAACGCTTACGTCAGGAGAGGGCAGGGAGGGCGGGAGAGAAATGCTGCCGAGGTTTAAACTGTTCCAATAACTCACCACAGGGGCTCTGCTGCTCCTGGGGGCCCCGCCCGGCCGACCCCCTTCCCCGCGCGGCCTGCGAGGGCAGCCTGCTCCGGGCACTGCCAGGAACCCACGGCAACGGTGGGCAACCTGCTGCTCCGGCTCTGGGGCAAGCCGGGGTCGCGGTCTGAGACCTGGCCCCGGGCCCTCTGCCCCTCTGATGCCCTACGGAGGCGGGGGCGCTGCGTGGGGGTCCGTCTCCGCATATTAGCAGGCACACAGGGGAACACACGCAGTGAACGCCCGGCGGCCCTCTGCGGAGAGAAGTCTACAGGGAAAGCCAGGCGCGCGGAGACGCCCCGCGAGCCTCCAGCTCACCGGCTCTAATCTCCACGTCACTGCGAGACGCAAGGCAGGGACCCGCGACCGCTCCAGAAGAATTTGAGGTATGAACCATGAACTCACTAACTCCTTCCCCTTCGTACTGCTTTAAAAGAAAAAAAAAAGGCTCATGGATTTGCTGAAAAGCAGAACCGGACCCCAGCCTCTATTTTCACTACAATAAACGCCTTCAGGACGAGCCCCTGGCACTGCGAGGTGCCTGTCCACCAGGGGTGTTCTCTCTACCGTCGTGTTTTCTCAAGCACTTGTTCAAAAACATATTTAAGTGGAATGTTTTCGTTTCTGCAGATTGCATTAATTATGGGTTTGCAAACCCGGCGAGCCCACGAGGTCTGCTGGAGCTGGGGGCTGCAGCCGGCCGGCCAGCGGCCGGCGGCTTGGCGCGGCCCCTGCGCGGAGCTCCGTGCTTGGCACCGCACGCCGCGCCGGCCAAGGCCAGCCCCCAGAAGCTGCAGCGAAGAAAGAAAAACACACAGCGGTCAACCGCCTGACCCACGCGCTCGGGCGCGCGCCGGCCTGCGCGCAGCACCAGCCCAGAGAGGACTTGAGGGCACATGGCCGCGGGCGGTGGAGGCGCCTCCTCCCTCCCGGCTCTGCCTGCCTACGCAGCTGACAAATGATTTTATTTGTCATCTGCTTCCCCTAACTGCCCTTCGAGAGGTCGCCAGGAGAGCCAGGCAAGGCTCGTGGGCCACAGGGAGGACCCACGGTGGGCAGCCCCTTCCCCACCCCCGCAAGCGCCCACGCGGACAGCCCGCGCACGGACGGGCTCCCCGCCCCTGGCCCAAGGGCCGGGGGCGCCAAGCCTCTGGAGGGGCCGCCTGGAACCGTTCTGTGGGGCGGCGCCGGCCGAGGTACGCGCACAAGTCGGGGAGCGCGCCCTCGCTGTCGCCCACCCGCGGCGCCGGCACCCCGTGCGCCCCCCGCAGCCGGCGGCTGTCCATCCCGGGAGCGCTCGCCACCGACCCGCCTGACTCCCACCTGCCCCGGCCCTGCCAGCAGGAGGAGGCGCCACCTCCCCGAGGGTCACCTGCTCTCTGCGCCGGGGCCTGGGCCCAGGGGGCGCGGGGTCCGGCGGAACTCACCGTGAGCGCGGAGAGTTTCTGCGCGGGCGCCGGCGGGAGCAGCCCCGCGAGCAGCGGCAGCCAGCAGAGCCGGGGCAGCAGCATGGCGAGCGCGGGGCGCGCGGCCGGAGCGCGGCGACTCGCAGAGCGGCCGGAGCCGGGCGCAGGGGCTGCTCGAGGTCTTCTCCCCAGCGCTCCGGGCAGCCAGGCTCGACCCGCTGCCCTCGCGGCACCGAGCGCTCCTCCGCGTCCTGCGCGGCTGCCCTGGCTCCTGTCAAATAACTCCAGGGCGTCCTGGAGCCTCCTCCCTCCCTCGCTCCCTCCCCTCCTCCCCTCCCCTCGCTCCTGAGCCCCACCTCCCGCGCTCGCCGCCGCGCCCGCTGGGCTCAGATGCCCGCTCTGGCCCAGGGGCCACCCTGCACGGGTCTGCGGAACCAGACCCCCGGAGGGGCCCAGCAGGGCGGCGCTGCGGGCGGGCGGTGCTGTGTGCGTGCTTCCTCCCTGCGGAGGCACACGTGCACACACGCGGCACACACACAGGGATGCACAGGCACCCACCAGGCGTGCGCACAGCGCGCCAGCCCTGGGAATCCCTGGCCCAACCACAGGATGCGCTGCGCCCTCCTCCTGCCCAGGGCGCCCACCTGGAGCGCGCACCCTCGACCCCGGGGCCGGGCTCACCGCCAGCGTTAACGGGGACGGGGTCAGTCCGCGGCAGCCCCTGGCTCTCCTCCACCTCCGGACTCCAAGGCCCCCTCCAGCCCCGGATGTCGTCTCTCAGCCTCACTGGCTCTCCAGCAGGTCAACTGTCCACACCACGTCCTCCAGAAGTCACCGGAAGACGGCGCGCCCGCGGCGTGTTTGCGCAGGTCAGTCCACGCGGGCGCGTGGACCCACGGCTCCGGGCCTGAGACGCGGCACTGGCGGCCGGCCGCCCACCCCCCCCCACCCCCGGCAAGCGTGGCTGGAATGTGCCGGCTCTGCAGCCGCTCCGTCAGGGCCGCCGGGGGTGTGAGCGGCGAGGGCAGCGTTGCGGAGGCTGCAGGCTCCTGGGTGGGGACGGGTTGGAAACCAGGGGAATTTCGCACACGCGAACTCTGGATCGCATCCACGGCAGACAACATTGCTGAAATAGTTTAGCCTTGGCTTACAACTTTACAGGAAAAAGCCCTACTTCTGGCTCACACAGAAAGCACAGAGTGAAGATTTGCAAGAACAATGCAGCAATTGACGGGTCAGGGGCACAGGGAGAAAGGACGAGACATAGCAAAGCCACATCTGATCTTTCATCTGATGTTTAATCCGAAGCTTGAGCTCTGGGGGGCCTGCGGGGGCGGGGAGGTGTGTAGCAGCAAATCGCGGGCGCTGCGGGGGCAGACAAAGCCTGCGCTGTCCCGGGGGCGGGGCCCGTGCCGCAGAAGGGCAGCCTCCCGTTCCCCTCGCAAAGGTGATGCACGGGGCCCGGGGGACAGGCAGGGGACGCGCGGTCCTCGGAGGGGCTGCTCAAGAATTTCCCTCAAGTCCCTGGGCCCCGAGAACCTGGGCAGCCCTGTAAACACGTTCCTCCCGGTGCTGGGGCTCAGGGGGACGTCACAACCGAGCCCTGGGGACGGCTCGAGGGCCTGAGAAACAGGTGAGCCAGGCAGCTGCAGGCGATTAAGCAAATGAAGAATGAGATTAGGCAACGTTAATAAGAATCAAGGTAAAAAAAAAATAAAAGGTAAGGACGGCATACCGCAAATTCTGAGGAGGAGGAAATTTACATTCAGAGCGGACACGCAGCCTCTCAAAGTCACGTGCCACTCGGCGAGCCGTGTGTTCTGGCTGCCTCCCTGAGAGGACACTAGCCGCCGGCTGAGATGTTTATTTGAGTCTGTGCACGTTTCCCTGGAACTCGGAAAATTGAAAACAGGTTGTTTCATCCACCCCCCCCCCCCCCCCGCCAGCCTCGGCGATGGCAGGCGAGGGGAGGTGTCCATTACGCCCATTTCGCAGGTGAGGCAGAATGGCAGCGGGGCGGTGTCGGCCAGATCTCAGAGGCGGCGGAATCGGGCCAGACCATGGCCGCTGGGGCCCACTTCTCCGAGGTTCGGAGGAGCCAGGGGCCCGGGAGCCGACTCCCGGGCCCTGAGGGCCTTTATTTAGAATCTCCACACACTGTCCGCGTATCAACGGCAGAGCCCACGCGAGTCCCAGGGAGACAGACAAAGCACATCTGTCCCGACCCGGGCCCGGGAGGGTGGGCCGGCCCCTTCAGAGGCCCTCGGGCCTGCAGCGCCAAGTCCCAGTCCCCCATGGGTGCTAGAAGCGGGGTGTGCAGACGTGACCAGTTTCCTTTCTCACGAAGAAACTCAACACACTTAGAAGAGACACTAGGACATCGGTGTATCTGTCTGACGTTCTTACGCCGCCAGGCAAGTGATTACTGGCGTGACGGTGCGTGGGTGCCCCCAGGAGAGGAAACCGAAGCAGGCCCGCCCCGTGCACAGGGAGGGCGGGGAGTCCCGGCCTGCGCTTCCCAACCAGCTCCCCTGGGACAGGCAGCCCCGCCGAGAAGTTCCCTGGAAATGGGGGTACGTGTTAAATCAATAAGCCACAGGGCCTGTTCTAAATCACGGCGGATGGATCCGGAGTTTGCTTGTGTCCTGATGAAAGTGACAATAAAGGCGAAGAGCGGAAAGCATCACCGGCCCAGGCCCCTGCCATCCCTGCTCTTCTCCGTGACTGTCCCTCAGGCCACCAGCCAAAGGCTCCAGCAGCTGCTCGACTGGCTTGTTGGTTTATTCTCGAACGGTAGAAGTGCAAATGATTTTTCTCTGGGTGGACGTGGCATAATTTAATTATTGTTTCTGGCTAATTCGTGTTTGGCCAGAACACTTGCCGCCTCAGCAGGGAATGTCAAAGGCCGTCACCGGAGTCCCTGCCGACTCCGCGGGCCGAACGCGCAGCCCAAAGGCTCCGCACTGGGTGTGGCCTGCGGGGCAGGGGAGACGCGGCCGCGGTGTGGGCGGACCCTGGACGCCCTCAGCCATGTCCGCCACCCGCTCACTCCACCGCTAGCTTCTCCCCGCATCTCCCTAGCCCTGGCGGGTGAGCCCTGTCTGCCTGAGGTCGGCCGGGGTCACTGTCTTCTCGTCTGCGGCCACGCTTGTCCCCACCCACAGAACGACTTGGACCGGACCTCCGGACTGGAGCGTGGTCAGCTTCTGATGGCTCCTGCGGCCTCCAGCCTCCGCCCTTCCGCTCACTCCCTTCGGTCCACGGGCGAAGGAGCCGAGACTCTCACAAGCTCTGGGCTTTCAGCCGGGCCCCCCACTGCAGGAACCCGTGCGCACGGCGGGCGGGGCGGGGGCGGCAGGCAGAGGGTGTGGCCTGGGGTGCTGGCCAGTGTTGGGGGCCAGCTGCCCTGCAGCGGAGCTCCAGGGTGGGCCCTCAGCCTAACTCAGACGTTTTCTCTTCTATTTTCATACATTAAGTAACAAATCATCTGCATCCGTGGAGTATCTTTGTAGATAAGAATCTTCTTCCTCCTCGAGATGCCGAGGCAAGCTGCAGGAGAGCGCTTCCCAGGCCTTTCTGGAACTTTTTCATAAAGCGGGGCAAGCAGGGGTGTTGCATCCACATTCTCTGATGGTGCCCGGCGGAAGCCTCACGGAGGGCAGGCCTCGCGGGTGAGGACCGCAGGCCAAGACGTCCCAGGGCCGCGCGCACCGCGCACCGGACTGTGGGCGGGCCCGCCTCGGCCCCGCCCCCGAGCTGGCTCCGTCCTCCCGCGCCAGCCGCTACGAGGGACCCGCGCAGACGCCACATCTGACTAGGTTCTGCATCTAGCTCGAGCGCCGCGGCCAAACAAGTAAAAAAAGCACTTGTTTTTGACTTCTTGGTAAAGCTTCATTGCCGCTGCCTGTCTTCCAAGTTAGGGTTTAATGTTTCCAAAGAGAGCTCTGTTTCGCAAAGCCAAATACAAAATTGCTACTTTCACAGCAAGAACATTGCCTCTCGAGTTGACAGGAGACGCCCGGCCACTCCAAAGCACGGGTTGTGGTGCCAGAGAGACACTGCGCCCAGCCAAGCCGTGCGCTCGGGCCCCGCGCAGCGGCCGGCCGGACGCCAGGCTTGCGGCGACCTTCTGCTCCCCACCGCTCCTGTGCGAGAGCCTCCCCATTCCCGAAGCGACGTTTGCAGGTGCGTGAGACTCACAAAATGCACCAGTGACAGAGCGAAAACAGTGATCTCAGGAGCCCGTCACAGCCAAGACCGGCGGGGGCAGCGGGGGGCGGGGGGGGAGTAGGTGCGTGCATGGAGAGACCCGGAGCCCGCTCCGCGGGCCACCGCCCGTTCCCCAGAACTCAGGCGGCCTCCGCGCAGCCGCCTGCGTGTCCCTTCCTCTTTCTCACGGAGACCTGCCTGTAGGGGGAAGAAACAGATAACAGGGCAGCAGAGATACGGCTTTCCAGGGACCCCCTGCGGCCCGTGGGCCACAGAGACACACCGCCGGTGGAGAGCAGTGTGAGAAGAGACCCACAGGGAAGCCTATCGGCCACCCCGGCACCCGGCCCCGCCGGCCCCTAGCGCACGCCCGCGGGGCACCCGGGACGCCCCCTCCCGTGACGGGCTGCGCCGGTCGCATCCCGGGGTGACGGGCTCCGTGGGGAGAGGAGCAGCGACATAGACACTCTCTGCCCTGGCCTCAGCCCCCGCCCAGCTTCCCTGCCTTCGGGGACCAGGGCACGGCTGCAGCAGCAGGCCGGCCTCGCGGCACGCCCGGCGTGGCCCGCCTCCTCGCCCCGGACCCCCGTGACAGCCGGGCAGTGCAGTCGGCCTGGGGCTGGCCCGAGCACGGCCTCCGGCCTGGGCACGCTGCCACCCTCCCGTCCGGGGCCACCGCGGCACACGGCAGGGACCGCGCGCCCCGTCCAGGCCGCTCTGTTCCCAGCTCCACGTGCTGGGCGCTTGCCCTCTGGCACCCAGACGGAAGGGATGGGCCCGAGGCGTGTGGGTTTTGCCGGTGCCCGCCGTGAACGCCATGCACACAGAGTGGCCCCCCGGCCAGGAAAGGGGGGTCACTGCGCTCAGTGAAGGGGCACAAATGCGGGCAGGTGCCGCCCCTTCCGTGGCTTCTGGACGGGGCCTCCTGAGGGCAGGCGCCCCCGCCCCCGGCAGGCCTGGGGGTCCGCTGCCGCTGAGCAAGAGCCGGGGCTGTGGCTCAGGGTTCTGAGTGGGGTTCGGACGGGGCGGGGGCGGCACCC